AAAGAAAGAAAGAGAGAGAGAGAGAGAGAGAGAAAGAAAGAAAGAAAGAAAGAAAGAAAGAAAGAAAGAAAGAAAGAAAGAAAGAAGGAAAAACCATAACCTTTCTACCAGAAACAGGCTGGGGCATCGGTCTCCCCGACGGAGAACCATCAGGAGAGGTGAATTCTCTGCAAGCAGACCTGGTTTGAATCCCCATCTTCCACATAAGCTGTGTGGCCTGGACCAGTAACCTTTCTACCAGAAACAGGCTGGGGCATCGGTCTCCCCCACGGAGAACCATCAGGAGAGGTGAATTCTCTGCAAGTAGACCTGGTTTGAATCCCCATCTTCCACATAAGCTGTGTGGCCTGGACCAGTCTCTTCACCTCTCTGAGCCGTGTGTCCATGTGTGCAGGTGACAGGGGAGGAGAGTGACAAAGAGGAAAGGGGAAAAGTGGGATGGAAAAGGAAAGGAAGCGGAGGGAAAAGAGGAAAGGGCTGGCACACCTGTCATCCCAGCACTCAGGAAGTGGAGGCAGGAGGATCAGGAGTTCAAGGTCATCCTTGACTACACAGCAAGTTCAAGGCCAACCTCAGTTACATGCAACCCTGTCTCAAAGAAACAAAAATGGTAGGGGATGTAGTTCACCTAGTATACATGAGACCCAGGGTTTGATCCCCAGCACTGAATAAACCAGGTATGGTGACCACAAGACTATCATCCCAGCACTTGGGAAGCAGGGTTCTGGTTAGAGCCCCTGACCCCCAAACCCAAACCACAAACAAAAACAAAAAAAGAGTGGGTAGAGGAAAAAGAGGGGTTTCTGCTATAAAGATCAAACATCTTCCTGGAAGGGGTCCTAGGTTTAGGAAGAGGTCCTTTTTCTTCTGAGATGTGCACTACGCCCTAAACCACCCTCTTCCACAACCTACCAGGCACTACTCAACTGTTTCAAGACTTGAGTTTTATCAACTGGGGGCTGAGGACTCAGTTGAGAACAGCACCTGACTGTCCCATCAATCATCCTCCACCAGGCAGCTGTCAGTCCATCAGAAGTCATGGGCCTTGGGCATGCTTTGAATGTGGTGGAAAGGTTTGGGGGCTGGTGAGACAGCCTGGTGGGTAAAGGGCTTGCCGTGCAAGCATGAGGATCTGAGTTCACAGGGCAGCGTGAGCCTATAAACCCAGCACTGGGGAGGTAGGGACAAGTGGATCCCTGGGGCTCACTGGCCAGCCAGTCTAGTCCTAGGTCAGTGAGAGACCCTGCCTTAAAAAATAAGGTGGAAAATAATGGAAGGACACTAGACACTGGCCTCTGACTTCCACATATGAACAGACAGACAAGTCCACCCACACACGTACATATATACTACATATACACCATACACATACACAGAAAAAAATAAACTAACATTTTAAAGTTTAGGGTTTGCTTCCATGGAGTAAAAAAAAAAAAAAAGAACTTTTTTTCAGGGACCGACGCAGATACTCAGTCTGTAGCGTGCTTGTTGCCCAAGCATGAAGACCTAAGTGCAAGATCCAGCACCCACACAAAAAAGCCACTAACGGTGGCCAATGCCAATGATCACAGTAGTAGGGAGGCAGAGACAGGAGGACTGCTGGGACTCATTGGCTAACCAGTTTAGCCAAGTCAGTGAGCTCTGGGTTCAGTAGGAGACTCTGTCACAAAAAGTAAGGTGGAGATACTCGACATCAACCTCTGGTCTCCACACCTGCACATACAGAGAGAGAGAGAGAGAGAGAGAGAGAGAGAGAGAGAGAGAGAGAGAGAAGTTTAAAGGCCAAGAGAGAAAAAAGTAGAGGAGAGATAAGCTGGGGGCTGTCACTGGCAGATCTTCCAAGATGGCCCCATCCCAATTCTCAGAACCTCAGAATGTGTGAGGAAGGAACTTTGCACAAGTTTCCCATGCTGGTTAGTTTTAACTGAAAACTTGACACAATCTAGAATCACCTGGAAAGAGCATCTCAGTGAGGATTGTCTGGATTAGGTTGGCCTGTGGACATGTCTATGGGGACTCTTAATTATGTTAAGTGATGTGAGAAGACTTAGCCCACTGTGGGAAGCACTATTCCCTAGGCAGGGTGTTCTGAACTGTGTAAGAAAGGAAAAATGGAGCTGAGCACAAGCAAACAAGCACTCAGTGCTATGGTACACACACACACACACACACACACACACACACACACACACACACACACACACACACATACACACACACACACACACACACCAGATAAACAAATAAGGAAATAAAGTAATAAAAAAATTGTAAAGAAGAGCTTAGAGTTGGGAGAAGGTAGTGGGAGACAAAGCAAGCAGTGATTTTAGGACTGTAGCCATAAGTCAAGGAGATTGGGCATGCTCTGAAGGCT